ATGAGCAGAGCTGACGTCTTGCTGTGCCAAAAGTTGCTCCCAACCAAGCGGGAGTCGAACCCTGGCAGTGGCAATGTGGCCGAGTGATTAATGTGTCGAGCTGCACCCCGCAACGGGATTCGAGCTCGGCCAACGCAATTCACCGCTCAACCATACAATCACCGGGACGCTATGACTGTCACGGTCTGATACAGGCCTGGCGCAAATCTCGTTTCGTGGTGGCATCATCGATGTGACAAACATGTGTTTGTCATTTCACTCGATGAGGCTACTTATTTTCGCCATAAGTAGTTTCGACGTGTAGGCGTAATTCGCGAAATAGCAGTTTAGTTCTTGTGTGCAAGACCTACCGTTCGATGGGCCCTTTCGACTGGGCTCCGGTCGGGACTCGAGCCCGGGACTACTCGACTGCGGCGCCAAGGCGGCTTGTGGTGCGCTGAGGTCAAGGACTGCCGGCCTGCGACTGGGCTCGGGTAAGGCCACCTGTTATGTGAATTAGGCGCTCGGTAACCGGAGAACCGGCGGCGCCGGAGCGTCGAGATGTGTCGCTGGGGCCTAGACAACTTGTGCACAGGCCGGCTGCACCGGCAGACCCCTTCGAGGGGTACAATGGGACGGGTTGCCTGGCAAAATAGTAGAGCCGAAGCAGTGGAAAAGATTTTGATGCAGCATGTTTTGGTGAAAACTTTCATAACTTTCGAGTTGCACACGAACGAAGAGGTAAATGTGCAAATGCAAGTGCGCAAAATGTGAAAATCATAAAATGAAGACCCAATTTCGCTGTATTGTGCGTTTTTGTGGCCATGTGCAAATGTGTTCTTGCGAGTGTGCACATGTGGCCACATGTGCATGCGTGTGCTGGCACAGCGAGGGTGTGGCACCGTTTGCTGCGCATTTCAGCGCTCCCACTCGGCACCAAACGAGCCAGACAGGGGCAAGCACAATCCTCTTCTGGTAGAGCGGTTTCAGCCCAGAGTGGGATTCGGACGCGCCGCCGGTCGACCGCCGTCGAGACAACTCGACGTCGAGTCCAATCCTACTGGGCCACGGAATCCGCCGGCCTGAGACACAAGCAGCATCGCAGGATGAATGAATGAATAAATGGATTAATGGATTAATGAATGAATGAATGGATGAACGAATAAGTGAATGAATAAATGGATAAAGGTATGAAGGTATAAATGGACGAATGGATAAATTGATAAA